ATAACAATCGTCCATTAGCATTTTAAAAGAAATACTTAAGCCTGCATAAAAGCTTTATGCAGATGCCTTAAAGGACCTGGCAGGATAAAAACGATGCCTCTTGGGCACATTATACTCTCCCCGTGGTTGTCCTGGGTGGAGGTGGTAGGAATTGTAATCCAAAACGTTTGGGCTGCCATGATGGTCTAATCTCAAATCTGCAAAAATCTGTCTTTCCCAGAAATAGCGAGAATGCTTAGCTCTTCTAAGCCTAATGGTTGTACAGAAATAGACATAAATTAATGTATGGTGCTGCTCTGTGTAGGAAGCTAGTTTAGATACTGGTTTATCCAAATCTGCACAGTTCTGTGAAAGAAGAGAAGCCATAATTTCATAGCTATCATCAGCCTGAACTGTGGACATTTGCCATCTCAGCTCATGTCTAGTAATAATTTATGGCACTTCCACAGTCCCTCCAGTGCTCTTTCTGATCCTGTTCATCCCCCATAGCCATTGTCTTTTCCTTCTCCTACTTTGCTCAGCCTTGCCAAGTGTTTTTCCCTAGTCCCTTATCTACTCACAAGTGCCCAGAGTATGGTAAGGCAGCTGTCTTGATTTGCTCCGGGATTCACTGAGGGGTTTTGTAGTCTCTGGTATCTTTAGGAACCATTTCCAAATTTGGAATTTGGGGGTATCCTGTTCAGAGCTAGCAGTGTGGATCTGGAAAAAATCCAGACTGCTGCTGAACAACAGCAAGGAGATACTGAAAATTAAAAATGCCAGAGGAAACTCAAATTCCAAAATAATGTTTTGGATGCGTGTATGTCACTGGGAGGTATTGATCATAGTACATTTGTGAGGCTTTTATGTACAAATGTGGTTGTGGAATTCTTGTTTGTATCCACTGATAGGTAACTTTTTATATAAAGTCTGCCTGTCATCTGATAAAGATGTCATTAGGATTGTGATGGACAGTCACTTGAAGTCAATTAGGGAAAGGGAATTTATAAACACAAAATTTGTGGTATTTAAAGTGGGAGATGAAACTATATGGAATTCTCTTTTAAGGAGGAATAAACCTAGTTACTTTAAAGATTTCAAGAACCAGGTCTCGTAGAGGAAATCTAAGTAGCATCCAGTGTTCTAAGTCTAGAAAATATTTAGGAACTCAGTATAAAGAGGCTGCTTCTGAGTCCGTTGTTTCTGCTTTGTTTTGTTTTCCTTGCTGATTAAAACTCAGGGCTTTTTCAAAGCAGTCAATCCCAGGCTTGCAAAAATAACAGCTTCTCAAGGGGAAATGCTGCTGCAGGAAGCAGGTAGGGAGGCAAAGAGAGGAATATTGCTGTAATGGAAGTTCTCTAGCACAGCCCAGGCAAGCCGGCATTCTGTTCCTGGAAGTGAGTGACGCAACAGCCCTTTGGCCAGAAATGACAGCTATCCCCTCCCCTTTTTATTGTTTGCCAAGGAAACCAGCTGATTACTGCTCTTTTGAAGGCAGACTGGATTGGAGTATTTCAGCGCTACAGCTCCAACTTGCTCTCTGGCTGATTCATCCCCCAAATTCCCATACAGTTGTTGAAGAATCTATTCTTGGTCTCTCCTCCCGAACTGTCTTTTATGGCAATGTATTGGCTTTTTAATTGCTCCTTTCTAGCAGTAAAGAGCTGCCGGCCCTTTCATTTTCTGTGTTGGGCGGAAGGCTATTTAGTGATCTCCACCTTAGAATCCTTTCAAGTTGTCTATCAACACCAAACAAACAATGCAGATTTCTCACTTGCCTGCTATTAGAAACGTGGAGTGATGAGGACGCAGGGACACTTTCAAATAGTTAGTCTCTCCCCATCATTTCCTTGGGCACTAGGAAGTTTAGCATGTGCAGTGTGAGTGTTGCTATGGCCAATAAAACATTTTTGAGTTCCTTCTGTTAAATGAGGCAAAAAGATACTTCGTGTTTTTCCCAAGTCAGGTTGGGCATAATGCACACCTGGGAGAAGACCTAAGGAGATGGGGGAAAATGTAGCTGCAGAGTCTTTATAGGTTCCAAATCCTTGTTCTATTTAAGTTTTCTACTAGAAGAGTATTAATATATACTCTGGCTTTTATTTTTATTTTCCAGGTGGCCATGGCTACAGGGCAGGTGCTGTTCCAACGTTTCTTTTATACAAAATCATTTGTGAAGCATTCCATGGAGGTATGTGGTTTAGTTTATGAAACTGGTGGGTGTAAACTCAGTCTTCATTTTGGAACATAAGACTATTGAGAGTTTTTTGCTTGACATCCCAAGCTGATACTACAGTGGTACCTCGGGTTACGAACACCTCTGCTTATGAACTTTTCGGGTTATGACCAGCTCTGGCCGCAAAAATTTACCTTGGTTTGCGAACTCCGCCTCGGGGTACGAAAC